TAGTCTAGTCTTTTCTTTTTCTTTAAGTTTCATTTTGAATAAATTTGTTTTCCTCTAAAAGTAGGCTTTCCTCTTATTTTTCTAAAACAACTAAAACTCTGCTAATGTTGTCTCTTTTAGCTCATTTAAATGCATAAAAATTTTGTTAATGTTTTTTTTTTTTTTACTAAAAGCTAAGTTATGTTAATTTCTTTGACTAATTGAACAAAGTTTTCTTAAAAAACTTTTGAATGTTTGTAAAAAGTTAGAAATCTAAAACAGTTTTCTAACTTTCATAAATTAGTAGACTAATTAAAAAAATTGTATTACAAATAAAGTTTTATTGAATTAAAATAAATAAAAATATTAAGCCTTAATGAAGGCAACAGAAAAGTTTTCATAATTTGTTACATAATTGAATAGCTAAGTAAATAATTGAACAAGCAAATGTAAACATTTTATCTTCTATGGGTCTTTTCCTAGTCATTTATCAAAAGTTTAAAGGACAAATTTTGTATGAACAATTTTTGTCTGATATTTTAAATTTAATAGTTTTTAAATATTTACCCGCTTTAAACTAAAATATAATTTTTTATCTTACTCTTACTCCTAAAACTATGCTTTACATGCCGCAAAACCAATATACTTACTTCACACAATACCACTTGCTTATGTTTGGCAATAGAAATTCTAACTTAGTCTGCTACACAATATTCTTAATAATTGTTAAACAACAATTTATGCTATTAACCCTTTAATGTTGAGCATACTTTTATTACTGTCATGCTTAAATAAAATCAGTAAATTTTTATTACTTCTTACATATTATACAGCTACCTTATGATAAAATTTAATGGGCCCCTTAAGTTATGCTTACATTATTTTTTATTAAAGATTTTATTTGACAAAGTAAAATTTTATGGGTTATTTGCCACATAAAATGTAAAATTTTAAATAACTTATCAAATAAAACTCAAACCTATAAAATAAATTTAAAGCAAAACCTTTATGTATAAAAGCTACTGTTATATGTATATTTTTTCAGCAGCTTTTAACATTATGCCTTGTTGCGGAAAATATTTAAACAATTTATTTAATTTCAACACCTTAAACTAATTGAGTGAAATGAACACAATTTAATAAAAGCAAAAAAACTCTTTATAAATTAAATATAAAAATTCATGAAAAATTCCCTAGAATTTAGCATATTTTGACAGGATGTTGGAAATGTTGTAATTCTTTACAACAATGCATTTGATTGAGTTTTGAAAACTCAATTAAACTCAATAGTTGATAATCGAGTAGATCGTCTAGTTATAGCTTAGCTGATAGTCTAGTCGACAGTTTAGTTGATAGTGTAGTTGATAGTCTAGCTGATCGTCTAGTCATAGTGTAGATGATAGACTAGTCGATTATCTATTAGATTGTCTAGTGATAGTCTAGTTGGTAACATAGTTGATAGTCTAGTTGATAGTCTAGTTTATAGTCTAGTTGATAGTCTACATGATAGTCTAGTTGATAGTCTAGTTAATAGTCTACTTGATAGTCTAGTTGATAGTGTAGTTGATAGTCTAATTGATAATCTAGCTGTTAGTTTAGTTGATAGTCTAGTTTATAGTCTATATGATAGTCTAGTTGATAGTGTACTTGATAGTCTATTTGATAGTCTAGTTGATAGTGTACTTGATAGTCTAGTTGATAGTCTAGTTGATAGTCTAGTTGATAGTCTAGTTGATAGTCTAGTTGATAGTTTAGCTGTTAGTTTAGTTGATAGTCTAGTTTATAATCTATATGATAGTCTAGTTGATAGTGTACTTGATAGTCTAGTTGATAAACTAGTTGATAGTCTAGTTGATAGTGTACTTGATAGTCTAGTTGATAGTCTAGTTGATAAACTAGTTGATAGTCTAGTTAATAGTCTAGTTTATAGTCTATATGATAGTCTAGTTGATAGTGTACTTGATAGTCTAGTTGATAGTCTAGTTGATAAACTAGTTGATAGTCTAGTTGATAGTGTACTTGATAGTGTACTTGATAGTGTACTTGATAGTCTAGTTGATAGTCTAGTTGATAGTCTAGTTAATAGTCTAGTTTATAGTCTATATGATAGTCTAGTTGATAGTCTAGTTGATAGTGTACGTGATAGTGTACTTGATAGTCTAGTTGATAGTCTAGTTGATAAACTAGTTGATAGTCTAGTTGATAGTGTACTTGATAGTCTAGTTGATAGTCTAGTTGATAGTGTACTTGATAGTCTAGTTGATAGTCTAGTTGATAGTCTAGTTAATAGTCTAGTTGATAGTCTAGTTGATAGTCTAGTTGATAGTGTACTTGAAAGTCTAGTTGATAAACTAGTTGATAGTCTAGTTGATAGTGTACTTGATAGTGTACTTGATAGTGTACTTGATAGTCTAGTTGATAGTCTAGTTGATAGTCTAGTTAATAGTCTAGTTTATAGTCTATATGATAGTCTAGTTTATAGTCTATATGATAGTCTAGTTGATAGTGTACGTGATAGTGTACTTGATAGTCTAGTTGATAGTCTAGTTGATAAACTAGTTGATAGTCTAGTTGATAGTGTACTTGATAGTCTAGTTGATAGTCTAGTTGATAGTGTACTTCATAGTCTAGTTGATAGTCTAGTTGATAGTCTAGTTAATAGTCTAGTTGATAGTCTAGTTGATAGTCTAGTTGATAGTGTACTTGATAGTCTAGTTGATAGTCTAGTTGATAGTCTAGTTAATAGTCTAGTTTATAGTCTATATGATAGTCTAGTTGATAGTCTAGTTGATAGTGTACTTGATAGTATACTTGATAGTCTAGTTGATAGTGTACTTGATAGTCTAGTTGATAGTCTAGTTAATAGTCTAGTTTATAGTCTATATGATAGTCTAGTTGATAGTCTAGTTGATAGTGTACTTGATAGTATACTTGATAGTCTAGTTGATAGTCTAGTTGATAAACTAGTTGATAGTCTAGTTGATAGTGTACTTGATAGTCTAGTTGATAGTCTAGTTGATAGTGTACTTGATAGTCTAGTTGATAGTGTACTTGATAGTGTACTTGATAGTCTAGTTGATAGTCTAGTTGATAAACTAGTTGATAAACTAGTTAATAAACTAGTTGATAGTCTAGTTGGTAGTGTACTTGATAGTCTAGTTGATAGTCTAGTTGATAGTCTAGTTGATAGTCTAGTTGATAATGTACTTGATAGTCTAGTTGATAGTCTAGTTGATAGTCTAGTTAATAGTCTAGTTGATAGTCTAGTTGATAGTCTAGTTGATAGTCTAGTTGATAGTGTACTGATAGTCTAGTTGATAGTATAGTTGATAATCTGGTTGATAGTCTAGTTGATAGTCTAGTTGATAGTGTACTTGATAGTCTAGTTGATAGTCTAGTTGATAGTCTAGTTGATAGTCTAGTTGATAGTCTAGTTGATAGTCTAGTTGATAGTCTAGTGATAGTCTATGATAGTCTAGTTGATAGTCTAGTTGATAGTCTAGTTGATAGTCTAGTTGATAGTCTAGTTGATAGTCTAGTTGATAGTCTAGTTGATAGTCTAGTTGATAGTCTAGTTGATAGTCTAGTTGATAGTCTAGTTGATAGTCTAGTTGATAGTCTAGTTGATAGTCTAGTTGATAGTCTAGTTGATAGTCTAGTTGATAGTCTAGTTGATAGTCTAGTTGATAGTCTAGTTGATAGTCTAGTTGATAGTCTAGTTGATAGTCTAGTTGATAGTCTAGTTGATAGTCTAGTTGATAGTCTAGTTGATAGTCTAGTTGATAGTCTAGTTGATAGTCTAGTTGATAGTCTAGTTGATAGTCTAGTTGATAGTCTAGTTGATAGTCTAGTTGATAGTCTAGTTGATAGTCTAGTTGATAGTCTAGTTGATAGTCTAGTTGATAGTCTAGTTCATAGTCTAGTCATAGTCTAGTCATAGTCTAGTTGAGCTAGTATAGTTAGTTCATAGTCTAGTCATAGTCTAGTCATAGTCTAGTCATAGTCTAGTCATAGTCTAGTCATAGTCTAGTCATAGTCTAGTCATAGTCTAGTCATAGTCTAGTCATAGTCTAGTCATAGTCTAGTCATAGTCTAGTCATAGTCTAGTCATAGTCTAGTCATAGTCTAGTCATAGTCTAGTCATAGTCTAGTCATAGTCTAGTCATAGTCTAGTCATAGTCTAGTCATAGTCTAGTCATAGTCTAGTCATAGTCTAGTCATAGTCTAGTCATAGTCTAGTCATAGTCTAGTCATAGTCTAGTCATAGTCTAGTCATAGTCTAGTCATAGTCTAGTCATAGTCTAGTCATAGTCTAGTCATAGTCTAGTCATAGTCTAGTCATAGTCTAGTCATAGTCTAGTCATAGTCTAGTCATAGTCTAGTCATAGTCTAGTCATAGTCTAGTCATAGTCTAGTCATAGTCTAGTCATAGTCTAGTCATAGTCTAGTCATAGTCTAGTCATAGTCTAGTCATAGTCTAGTCAAGTCTAGTCATAGTCTAGTCATAGTCTAGTCATAGTCTAGTCATAGTCTAGTCATAGTCTAGTCATAGTCTAGTCATAGTCTAGTCATAGTCTAGTCATAGTCTAGTCATAGTCTAGTCATAGTCTAGTCATAGTCTAGTCATAGTCTAGTCATAGTCTAGTCATAGTCTAGTCATAGTCTAGTCATAGTCTAGTCATAGTCTAGTCATAGTCTAGTCATAGTCTAGTCATAGTCTAGTCATAGTCTAGTCTAGTCATAGTGTAGTCATAGTGTAGTCATAGTCTGGTTATAATCCTTCCATTGTATAGTCCAAATAGTCCCTAATCTAGTTCAAAGTCCATAATATAGTCGTTAATGCATTTGTCATTCTATTCCATTGTTTTTGCCGTAGACGTTAGTCTGTACCATAATCTATTCCACAATCTGGTTTATGAGCTGAGAAATAGAAACAGCTCTATTTTAATTTTATAACCCTAGTCATAGTAGACTGTTTCTATAGATATGAAAACAATTTTATAAAATTTTTTTTCTTCCAGGTTTGTGCCATCCAACACGTTGATGTCTGCATGTTTAATAATGGAAAATTCAAAAATGTAGTAGCCGACTCTGATAATGTCTCACCACCGCCGGTTGACCAGCATGTTGCTCCCGGAACTACTCTCAATACCACCGTTATTTTAAAACCTCAACGTGGAGCCACCAAAAATTGGATCGCTTTGGAGGACACACTACAGCGTAGTACTGAACCAGATGAAATAACCGCCGATATAGCAGCTTCCGCTCTACGTACTCCTCACTTTCTAATGCAAGCCAATCACTCGCCTAATAAATGCTCAAGTCCTGGTGTCCTAATACCACCCACCGCTTTAACGGCAGCTGTCACCCACGGTGCCACCAATAGCGATGAACGTAATGTTTTTGCCATTTATGTGTCCTATTATGTTAAAGTCAAATTAACTCTGTCGGGTATGGGTGGGGAATTGTCTCTCAAGTTGCCGTTTTTACTAGTGCATATCGATGAAGAGCAGAGGTTGAAGCACGAAAAGCAGAAGATAAAACTGGAGGAAGTACCTGCCCATAGGAGGAGTACCAAACACTCTAAGTCACCAGAACGCCAGAAACAGTCATCCGAGGAGTATACCTTGCCAACCAGTTTGGATCGTATTGAATCCATAGAAGGCGAAAATGTCCATATTAAGGTAACCCATGTAAGCAGCTGTGATGGTGATGGGGTGGTAGAGGCCTCCATACAGGCAGAGGCTGAAGACGAAATAGCTGAGGAACCACAACCTTCTACTAGTTTGGCTTTACGTCGACGACGCCAGTCGTTCATGCGCTGTGAAAGTATAGATCATGGTTTGGAAGATGATGTGACGGTAGGAAAACCAGTGGATTTGGAGAAGGTGTTGCATGTAGCTCAAGTACACACTGAGTCCAAAGAGGAAGAGCAAACAGAGCAGTCAGACAGTAATATCACTAAATCATGAGATAGCGGCGGTATTTATGGCAAAACATGAAGTTATTTAAAATCGAAATTCTCTTGACATCTAGAAGGATGATATCATTGATAGAAGAAGAAGAAAGATATTTCAACAAATTGATGATTATTTAGGCCAAAAATTGGTTTTGAGCTTTAATTTGTTAGTAATTGATCAAAAAATTATAAAAGTTAAAACCCAAAATTATGTTTGATGTTTAAAATGCTTTTTATACTCTGAAAATGTTTAGTTTTGATAATTATCACAAAATTACAGGATATTAAAGCACAGTTCTGTTTAATTTATTTCAATTTAAATAAAATATATTATTTATTTAATTATATGTATGTTCCTTTATATTTTAAAATGCATAAAAACTATTAAGTTATTGTTATTAAACTGCATAAATGTTTTATTAATTAAGAATCAAGGATATTTGTAAAAAATTATTAAAAAACAAAAATAATAAATGTGATAATTGTTTGAAAAATTAAAAAAAAGTCTGTAACTTTTAAGTTATAAAAGACTCCTTTTAATAACCAGGTAAGTTTTAGCAACAAATCAAGCACGAGCTTCTATGTTTTCATTCAAAATACATACTTTCTCAAAAAAATCGAAGATTGTTTTTGCCCTATCTCTTCCAGTTCCCAAAATAAATGAACTTTTATGTTTTCACTTAAAAAGTCCATTTTTTATGAAAAATTTAAGTGATCACAGATTATCATGGTTTTGGTCCTATCTCTTCTACTTTCCAAGATAAATGGACTTTTAAGATTTCACTCAAAAAGTCCATTTTTATGAAAAATCGAAGTGATCACAGATTATCATTGTTTTGCTCCTATCTCTTATAGTTTCCAAGATAAATGGACTTTTATGTTTTTACTCAAAAACAGAAAAATCGATGTGATCACACATCATCATTGTTTTGGCCCTATCTCTTCTAGTTTCCAAGATAAATGGACTTTTAAGTTTTTACTCATAAAAGTCCATTTCTATGAAAAATCGGAGTGATCACAGACTATTATTGTTTTGGTCCTATCTATTCTAGTTTCCAAGATAAATCTACTTTTATGTTTTCACTCAAAAAGTCCAATTTTTATGAAAAATCGAAGTGATCACACATTATAATTGTTTAAGGCCTATCTCTTCTAGTTTCCAAGATATATGGACTTTTATGTTTTCTTTCAAAAAGTCCAATTTTTATGAAAAATCGAAGTGATCACAGATTATCTTTGTTTTGGTCCTATCTCTTCTAGTTTCCAGGATAAATGGACATTTATGTTTTCACTCAAAAAGTCCAATTTTTATGAAAAATCGAAGTGATCACAGATTATCATTGTTTTGGCCCTATCTCATCTAGTTTCCAAAATAAATGGATTTTTATGTTTTCACTCAAAAGTCCAATTTTTATGAAAAATCGAAGTGATCACAGATTATCATTGTCTCGTTCCTAGCTCTTCTAGTTTCCAAGATAAATGGACTTTTATGTTTTCACTCAAAAAGTCCAATTTTTATGAAAAATCGAAGTGATCACAGATTATCATTGTTTTGGCCCTATCTCTTCTAGACTCCAAGTTAAATGGACTTTTATGTTTTCACTCAAAAAGTATAATTTTTATGAAAAATCGAAGTGATCACAGATTATCATTGTTTCGCTCCTATCTCTTCTAGTTTCCAAGATAAATGGACCTTTATGTTTTCACTCATAAAAGTCAATTTTTTATGAAAAATCGAAGTGATCACAGATTATCATTGTTTTGGCCCTATCTCTTCTAGTTTCCAAGATAAATGGACTTTTATGTTTTCGCTCAAAAAGTTCAATTTTTATGAAAAATGGAAGTGATCACAGATTATCATTGTTTCGCTCTTATCTCTTCTAGTTTCCAAGATAAATGGACTTTTATGTTTTCACTCATAAAAGTCAATTTTTTATGAAAAATCGAAGTGATCACAGATTATCATTGTTTTGGTCCTTTCTCTTCTAGTTTCCAAGTTAAAGGACTTTTATGTTTTCACTCAAAAAGTCCAATTTTTATGAAAAATCGAAGTGATCACAGATTATCATTGTTTCGCTCCTATCTCTTCTAGTTTCCAAGATAAATGGACTTTTATGTTTTGACTCATAAAAAGTCCATTTTTTATGAAAAATCGAAGTGATCACAGTTTATCATTGTTTTGGTCCTATCTCTTCTAGTTTCCATGTTAAAGACCTTTATGTTTTCACTCAAAAAGTCCAATTTTTATGAAAAATCGAAGTGATCACAGATTATCATTGTTTCGCTCCTATCTCTTCTAGTTTCCAAGATAAATGGACTTTTATGTTTTTACTCATAAAAGTCTAATTTTTTATGAAAAATCGAAGTGATCACAGATTATCATTGTTTAGGTCCAATCTCTTCTAGTTTCCAAGTTAAATGGACATTTATGTTTTCACTCAAAAAGTCCAATTTTTATGAAAAATCGAAGTGATCACAGATTATCATTGTTTTGGCCCTATCTCATCTAGTTTCCAAAATAAATGGATTTTTATGTTTTCACTCAAAAAGTCCAATTTTTATGAAAAATCGAAGTGATCACAGATTATCATTGTCTCGTTCCTAGCTCTTCTAGTTTCCAAGATAAATGGACTTTTATGTTTTCACTCAAAAAGTCCAATTTTTATGAAAAATCGAAGTGATCACAGATTATCATTGTTTTGGCCCTATCTCTTCTAGTCTCCAAGTTAAATGGACTTTTATGTTTTCACTCAAAAAGTATAATTTTTATGAAAAATCGAAGTGATCACAGATTATCATTGTTTCGCTCCTATCTCTTCTAGTTTCCAAGATAAATGGACCTTTATGTTTTCACTCATAAAAGTCAATTTTTTATGAAAAATCGAAGTGATCACAGATTATCATTGTTTTGGCCCTATCTCTTCTAGTTTCCAAGATAAATGGACTTTTATGTTTTCGCTCAAAAAGTTCAATTTTTATGAAAAATGGAAGTGATCACAGATTATCATTGTTTCGCTCCTATCTCTTCTAGTTTCCAAGATAAATGGACTTTTATGTTTTCACTCATAAAAGTCAACTTTTTATGAAAAATCGAAGTGATCACAGATTATCATTGTTTTGGTCCTATCTCTTCTAGTTTCCAAGTTAAAGGACTTTTATGTTTTCACTCAAAAAGTCCAACTTTTATGAAAAATCGAAGTGATCACAGATTATCATTGTTTCGCTCCTATCTCTTCTAGTTTCCAAGATAAATGGACTTTTATGTTTTTACTCATAAAAGTCTAATTTTTTATGAAAAATCGAAGTGATCACAGATTATCATTGTTTAGGTCCAATCTCTTCTAGTTTCCAAGTTAAATGGACTTTTATGTTTTCACTCAAAAAGTCCAATTTTTATGAAAAATCGAAGTGATCACAGATTATCATTGTTTTGGCCCTATCTCTTCTAGTCTCCAAGTTAAATGGACTTTTATGTTTTCACTCAAAAAGTATAATTTTTATGAAAAATCGAAGTGATCACAGATTATCATTGTTTCGCTCCTATCTCTTCTAGTTTGTAATGGTCGTTAGTTTAAATTCTTTACATACATATTTTCATTAACAACTTTTCTTAACAATTTACCTAATTTATATACAAACACTCATACAAATAAATATGCAATAGAATTTTTATTTTTAATATTTATTTGCTATGCATAGAAATAGTTAAACTATTTATCAAATAACTTGAAACAATTGAAATTTTCTCGTTTTGATTATAAAGAACGTTTTCGTTTCAATTACTGTCAATAATGTTTTAGATGATTTGATGATGATAATGGTTTAGTAGCATATCTCTTCGGCGTAAGGTACCCTGAAATTAAATTACATCGAAAGCTCCCGATATATATATATATGAATATACATATGTATAGTAAAATTTTACCTGGTTCCAAATAACTCTAGGAACGTATCAGGCTATAGAACAATATGGCCTTTGGAATAATCCAGTTCGGTATCTATTAACCCAAATAGTACATAGTTAATGATCATTATGGTTACAAAATAAGCGTTGAGTTACTTGCTGAATTCGACACCCTGTATGTTGCTTGGTATTCTCTTATACGATATTATAAGTAATTTCAATCATTAATTATCTATTAATAAAAGTTTCTTTAATTAGTTTAATACTATTTACAAATTCTATCCACTTAAGTTTCACAGCTGATAAATGATTTTTTTTATTTGTTTTGCCTTTTATTTACATCTCTCAATTACTGAGAGCATTACATAGTTGTAAATAGCAATGAAATGTAATAGTAGTAAAGGGTTGGTGTCTAGGCTAAAAGTCACATACGTGATTGATAAGATCAATAATGCCTACAAAATATATAAATATTTTTTATATTATATATTTATTTTAATTCAAAATTTATTTTCAAGGCAAATAAATAAAGATCCGACGAAGAAAAGTTCCTTATTAATATGCCTATTTAAAATATATAATGTTATATTAAAATTGATCAGGTCAGTGATATAAAGTTTACCAACACTAGCTTACAGAAATATTTACTACTTTTTAAAGCAACATTTATTTTAAGCTTTTATACAAATCTGGGCTATTTTTCACTTTGACATTTTTTTTTTCACAATGCGAGGCATTAAGATATCTTAATTAAGATTTAAAAATTCTTTTTAAAAACTCATTTGAATCAGCTACATCTAATCTCAGCTTTAAAAGAGAAAAACAATTGTGAACTAAAATCTAAATAAATTAACCTAGTGTTTCTGAATACATTTTAAATATCAAGTTCGAAATTTTATGAGAAGACAAATATTACTGAATTTATTAAAATCGACAAATCCAAGGTAATATAATGAATAGTATTGTTATTTCTGAGAAATTTAAGAATGCAAATTTTGTCCAGAAACTACAACTACCAAAGTGAGCAACTATCCCCCAATGTGAAGATTCTAACCTCATTCTTGGGAGAAGCTCCCGGCCTGGGAATCACGTTGGCCAATTCGCAGATTGAGGTTATCTGTAAAATCTTCAACCAAGACAATTAAATCCCTTTTTCGAGGCGGAATCTTCCAATTGCTAGTTTTGCAAAATTGAGTTTTGGAACAAATCTACCACTTAATGTTCGATTGTCATATATAAGATGTGAAAATTCAACAAGCTAAGACCTTTTCATCAGTCAAATCATAATTATGTGTTCGAATATGAGAAAAACATCGCTATAAACTTGCATTGCCTAAGAATTTATTTAATCATTCACCGGAACCTTGATTAAAACAAAAAAATCCCATATTATTACTATGAACTTACAGTGAGAAACAAAATTAACCACAATAATACTTTAACTAAAACTACAAATTATCTAATTAAAATTGCAACAATTATTATTAAAATTCCAAAAACTAATTGCTAATTAACTATAACCTAACCTAAAAAATGTAATAAGTAATTTAAAATGTTGCATAATCAATTTTAAAAGTCACCTA